CTTGAAGATGGATCCGTGTAATTTATTATTTTGGATAAATTTTCTTTTTAAAAAACAACTTATTTAACTTACTTTCTAAATTTCTAATGTTCAATAATTTTTTATGTATCAAAATTCCTTTCCTGTACATTAAAATTTTTTATAATTAATTTATCATCTAAAAATTAAAATTTAAGATGCTATACAAAGGTGCTGTAATTAAATTAAAGTGTCAAGAGAAATTATTTGACTGTTCCTATTGAAAGATAGCTATTTACCCATTATTTTAAGTTGTTTGTTTCTATATATACTGTTATTCATTATTTTACATCAAGTTATTTATTATCTCATTGTTTGTTATTTGTTCGTTATTTTTAGTTAATAATAAACTTTTTTTCTTATTTTTTGTCATTTGTAGTGGACAAACAACCGGCAGTATGGTAATAAATAACTTAATGTAAAGTAATGAATAACAATATGTAGATAAACAAACAATTAATATTAATAAGATGACAATACTTGAAATGAAATCAATTAAAAGTAATAAATAACTAACAGATAGTAAGGTAATGAATAATTTAATTTAAGGTAATAAATAACAGTATGTATGAAAATGAACAATTAGTATTAGCATAATGACAATACTTAAAATGAAATCAACTAAAAGTAATGGACAGACAATATATGCAGTAAGGCAATGAATAATTTAATATAAGGTAATTAACAATGGATAATAAGGAAACAAACAACTTGTATTTGTTTCGTCCGAGGATATTTTGTGAAAAGTGTGAATTTTATTATTTTTTTTAGCATTTTAATTTCATTTTAGTGCTCTTGAACTTTAGTGAAATTTCATAATTTATGAAATTCTCTTTTTTATTAACTATGGTCAATGGGTTTTATTGAAATTTCCTTTATATATAATTGTATTGGGAGGATTGGAGTATAATTCTACCCATGCCAAAGGAAAATTTATGCTTGAGCCCCATGGCACTAAAAATGTTATTTAAACTTCTCCCCCTTCCTCTCTCCCTTTCCCCCTCTCCTTGTTTTTTTGAAAAAAAAAAAAAGATTCCATCCAGTTAAAGTGACCTAAATGAACAATTTTTTAATTATTTTTTCCTAAAACATACTCCATATCAAATTATAAAATAATTTAAAATAAGATTATGCATATCAATTAAATACAATGATAACATTCAACAAACTTACTTTTTTAAAAATAAAACTATAAACTTTAAAAAATATTCTTAAATATTTAATCATTATGCTACAATATCATTTTAATTTTGTATCCACTTAAAAGACAATATTAAAATATTATAATTAATAAAATATTATTTTTAAATTATCTTATATTTTAAAATAATAAAATTCTTTAACTTTATTTCATAATTTAAAATAGAAAGAGCAATAAAATGCACAAAGCATGAGGGAAGTTAAAAGTTTTAGAAATTGAATCATTCATTAAACTGGACTAAGCATTGATTCACTATTTATTAGTCGAACCATGATCAAATAGTGATTGAAGCAGTTGATATTAAATTAATATATTTTTAATTTATGTATCATAATTAAATAAAAATACGTTTGAATATGTCATTTTTTTAAAAAATAGATTATAAATGTCTGGTAATATAATTTATTATTGATGAATATATAATTAATATCAAATATAAATGAAGCTCTTCATTTAAAAATAAAGAAATATGTTGATAGAATGATAAATATTAGATATTTTTTAAAGGCATGTTTAAACTAAATTAAAAAGATCAAGTTTAAACAAAAAATATATAAAAAAAATAAAAAGTATAAAAATTAAAAAGATGTGCCTACGTTAGAAGAACATCAAGATATATGTAACAAAAAAAAAACCAAAATCAAAAAGGAAAAAGGAAATAAAAAAAGAAGAAGAAAGAACTCATTTAATTGTACTCTCTCCGTTAAAAAATATAATATATTTTTTAAAAAAATGTTAAAAAATATAAGGCATTTTTAATCTTTTGAGGTATAATCATTATCTTTTTTTCAAAAGTACCCTAATGATAATAATTTTATATTTATAGCAGGATATTTAATAGGGATAAATATAAAAAAATAGATTTAGTTTAAAAGTTAGTGATTATTTTATTAGGAGGTGAAATTCAATTAAAAATATATTATATTTTTTAATAAAAAGAATATACTGTAAGCGTATAATATTTGTTTGTGCCCCACATACATAGAGTTGGAAAATGGGTGGGCTCGGTCCATATGAGCTCGAGCCCTTAAGCTTGATTTTTTAAAAATATTTTATTTTTTAAAGCTCGACCCTTATAAAAAGGGCTCAGGGTCAAGCTTGTAAGTTCTTATTATTATTATTTTATTTTTAAAAATTAAAATTTTTAATTTTAATATTTCATATATTTTTTAAAAATATAAATTATAATATTTAAAAATTAAAAATAAATAATAAAAATTATAATTTTAAAATATAAACATATATTTTAAAGTTTAAATTTAATTTTCAAATTAAAAATATTTTTTTAAAGGAAAAACAAAAAAGGATTTAAAAGGGCTGTCCGAGTTTATTTTTTCAGGGCTTATTAGAGCTGGGCTTGAAAATCCAATTTTTTTTAAAAAAATTATTTTTTTAAGCTCGTATTCTTCTAAAAATGAATTTAAACGAGCGACTTGCAGATTCAACTTTTATTTTTGACTCTATACATACACAAGGAGGCGTGCATAACTATAAAAAAGGGTGGAGCACGCTGACGTGTATGAGAGGGCTGAGCTTTATTTTTACAAAAATCACAGCTCATGGCCCAAATTTTTTAGTATTTTATTTTAAATTATGGTTTGTTTTATTTTTAAATTTTTTAATTTGGTCTGATTTTTTAAAAGTAACTGGTATGATTTTCCTGATTATTGACCAGTTTCCTAATGGTTAGTTTTAAAGGGTTAATCCAATCGAATTAAGAGCTAATTCTTCATTCAACTAATTGAATTAGTTAGTTCGTCTTAATTTTTAAGGCTATTATAGACACAGCAATAATGGTGAACTATTACATTATAAAAAAGAAAAAATATAATTTTATATCTCTATATTTTGCTTGAGTTTTACTATAAGTCTTTACATTTGTTTATATGTTAAGTCCTTATATTTTTATTTTTTAATGTTTTAAATCCTTATAACACCTCTCATGGAGAGACTTAGAGTATTAAAAAAATATAGGAACCTATCATAAAATTCAAACAAAATATAGCAATTCAAAATTATATTTTTTCTACAAATGGTGGTGGTGGTGAACACACACACACAAAATTATGTTTTTTCTATAAGAAGTGGTGGTGGTGAACTCACTCTCTCTCTCTCTCTCTCTCACACACACAAAATTATGTTTTTTTTATGATGATCTCTCCCTCCCTCCCTCCCTCCCTCTCTAAGAGCCCATGTTTTTTAATTTCACCTAAAAACCCCTACCTTTCATTCCAGCTCTAAATATATAAGGATCCCTCTTCACTGGTCCATGACCATGTGATATAAACTATTTAAATTTTAATTTAAACAGTTTAAATTTAAAATATTTATTTTTTATTAATGAAAATAAAAATTTTAATAAATTTATTTATTATTAATTTAAATTTGATTTAATTTGAAGGGGCTTCATTTAATATTAAAATTTTCATAAATTAATTATGTAGATTTACTCTAAATAATTTTGTATTTAAAATTGTTAACTTGTAATTTTTTGAAAACATTTAAAAAGTGCTAGTTAAAAGGTTATTTTAATTTTTAATATTATATTTATTGAAATAAAAAATATAAAAAATTTTAATATAAAATTTAGGCTTTTTAAATTATATTTTTATAGTTAATATGTAAAAAGTATAAAATATCTAAATTGAATTTTTTAAATTAAACATAGAATAAATTGGTTTATCATAAAAAATTATAATTTTTAATTTTTAATAATAAATGTAAAATAAATAAATACGTTAAATCTAGTCCGACCGAATTAAAATCTAAATACATGGTCCATATCATAAGACGGACCTGAGGAGGAAATTCAACTCTCCGCAATCATCCCAACATACCTTCTAGAAGAAGCTACCTTTCCTCAATGGCTTGTCTATTCCACCCACTCTCTACATTTGCTTTCCTCTCATCGACTCCATCTCGCTTCATTAATTTGAACGACGCAATGGTCTCTGATATTTTAGTTTGTACGACTCCATCATTGTAGCTTAAAGAATTCGGGATGCCAAAAAAATTACGGAAGAATTTGAATCTTTTATATTTACAAAAATAAATACGAAAAACATATTTATTTAAAAAAATTGAGATGTTTTTGTGCGTGAACAATAAATATCAAGTATATCAGCGTTGAATTTCAGTGGATAACAAAAAGGTCTCAAATTCTCTCACTATAATTTATTCGAATGGAAAAAATACACAAGACTTGATAAAATAAGTATTTTTAATTTTTTATTGAAATATAAAAGGACTAGATTTCAAAACTATTTGAAATTGTGCCTTTATGTGTCAATGATATAATGTTTGTAACTAAAAAAATTTCGGCATGTTCATTCTATCGTGACTTTCTATTGAGTTAGGGGCCGACTCTTTTATTTAGATTGGGCCTAACTCTTCAGTTACTCAGTCCAAATAGCTTTGTAACTTATTTTAGCCATGTTCCATATTTTAACCCAAACAAGATGATAATTTACAAATAAAATAAGAGTCAGTTTAAACTGAAATTAAATAAAAGAGAATGAATATTTCCTTTAATTTTATTTATAAGTGATTTCAGTATTAAAAAAATAATAAATTAAATTATAAATAAGATCAAAATTAACATTTTCCCCGTCCCGGAAATAAAATCAGAGAAGTAAATAATACAGATGGGGAGAAGGACTAACTAGGAACCGCAAGTCCGCAGGCAGGCACCTAACACAAAGGGGCATAACTAACCTTCTGGTGAACACGTGACGAAAAGAGCATCCGAACCCAGAGCATTTGTTTTGGTAAGAGAGACCGACAGTCTTTATCTATTCCACTCCGCTCAACTTCACACTATAACGACTCCATCTCTATAAAGCCCTGCCTTTTCAATCCATACACACACACATATATATATGTACCATCCTTAACCTTCAATTGACTTTTCGTTCCCAATATATAACTTAACACCGAAAGAGAGAGTGAGTGAAGGAGAATCATATGGGTTCAGTGTCGGAGACCGTTTGTGTCACCGGGGCATCCGGCTTCATCGGTTCGTGGCTCGTCATGAGACTGCTGGAGCGCGGCTACACTGTTCGGGCCACCGTGCGCGACCCTGGTTCCATTCCTCCCCGCTCTCATCATCATCGTTCAATTCATATTCATGAATCGTGACACCTTTGTTCATCCATTCGTTTGATTCGATGCGCAGGTAACGTGAAGAAGGTGAAGCATTTGCTGAAGCTGCCAAAAGCCGACGTGCAACTTACTCTGTGGAAGGCCGATCTTGCCCACGAGGGAAGCTTCGACGACGCCATCAACGGCTGTGCCGCAGTTTTCCATGTCGCCACTCCTATGGATTTCGAATCCAAAGATCCTGAGGTAGGTATATACACGTGCGCGCTCGCGCGCACAGACTATTCACTTTGTTTTTTTCCTCTGCATATGTAACTAAGCAACATGAACTTAGCTTCTGCATCTTGCTTGTGTGAAAAACTAGTCGCACGCGTATAATCTATATTATAACTCACGCAGTCACGGTGTAAGATTTTCTTTAATTTATACAGTGCTATTCTGACTGGACTAAGAAATTAAAAGAAGCCACCCAATTATCTGTTTTTTTTCTAACATACAATCCATCTATTGTAACAAGCAAAATCTGTGAGTTTGTTTACTGTGTTTATGTGTTTGTTCGTTTTTTTAAATCATTAATTTGATTTTATTTAAATTCAAATTATTTTCTAAAAAATCGAAATCTTGTGTGGATAGTGGGCACAGAATTCAACCTCCTGGGGCCTACGAGTTCAGGCTAGTCTAATTTAAATAACTGAGTTGATGAGAGTTTTAAGAAAGTCAGCAAATTCGTATCCCGTAACATCTTTACATTAATTACTACTGAATTAGCTCGCGGAAAACGTACATTCCGGACATTCTACTGATTAGATGAAAAAAAATCTAAGTGAGGATATGGACAAAATTAAGAGAAGATAATGTGTGTTGCGTTGGCGATCCTTGAAATTTTCAATAGTCCAAGGCGGAATAAAAATCGAGGACAAATACCACACGCCTGAGAAGCTCAAGAAGTTCTGAAGTAGGCTCATGGAAAGTGATTACGGTTCAAAATACTTTGATACGTGACCTAATTGTTATTCCCCTTAATATTTGAAACAGAATTTTCTAACCATTGATAATTGGCACGCGCAAGGGGCATTCAATTGTCCTAGTGCACATAAATGACTTGATGGAAATATCATTGATCACGTGTTTAAACAATTTGACTTTGATTGGGATGTTGTAGAATGAAGTGATAAAACCAACGATCAATGGTTTAATAAGCATCATGAAAGCATGCCTCAAGGCCAAAACTAGAAGATTGATATTCACATCCTCCGCCGGAACCGTTGATGTCACGGAGCACCAAAAACCTGTGTTCGACGAGACTTGCTGGAGTGATGTCGAGTTCTGTCGCAGAGTAAAGATGACTGGTTGGGTTAGTGCTTTCTCCTCTTCCTCTACTTTTTATTCGCGCCTGGATTGCTTCCCTCTTGGACATCTGAGATAGATTATCCCAAGCATTTACAAAACCATCTACTTTTTATTCGTGCCTGGATTGCTTCCCTCTTGGACATCTGAGATAGATTATCCCAAGCATTTACAAAACCAAATATCTTGCAGATGTATTTCGTTTCAAAGACGCTTGCAGAGCAAGAGGCATGGAAGTTTGCCGAAGAGCATAGCATGGATTTCATCTCTATAATTCCTCCTCTCGTGGTTGGCCCGTTTCTCATGGATTCAATGCCTCCTAGTCTTATTACCGGCCTTTCTCTCATCACCGGTACATCTAATATTTTGCTTTTATTTAATTTCAGCCTCGCCATCACTCACAGTACATATTTTAACTTAATGTATATCCTATAATTGTAGGGAATGAAGCGCATTATTCAATCATAAAGCAGGGCCAATTTGTTCACTTAGATGACCTTTGTATGGGTCATATATTCTTGTTAGAGCATCCTGAAGCAAAAGGAAGATACATGTGCTCTTCCCATGATGCCACCATTCATGACGTTGCAAGAATGCTTAGTCAAAAATACCCAGAATACAATATCCCCACCAAGTATAGCCTTCCCCCACTCTTTCTGTAGTTAACTATGATTCATTTGCAAGCGTGAATGAATCGATGGACATTGCTGGGCTAATTGTGAACGTGAATCGTTTTGTAGGTTTAAGAATATACCAGATGAGTTGGAGATTATCCGCTTTTCTTCCAAGAAGATAAAAGATTTGGGATTCCAATTTAAATACAGCTTAGAGGACATGTTCACCGCAGCTGTTGATACCTGTAGAGAGAAAGGGCTTCTTCCTAAGCCTGCAGAAATCCCTGTCAATGGCGCCGCTGATCAGAAATGATTTGGGATATGTACCCTCGTGGCGTGTTCGCAGTAGTCTTGGTTCTTCTATTCAGTTTTTGGTATTCTAAATTATGGTTTGGGATATGAGAGTGTGTGTGTGTGGGGTGGTTCCGAAAATAAGAATGGCTTAGGACACGAAGAAACTGTTGTTGTCTTCGTCTAACGCTTGGATTCGTTCCACATTACTCGATGCAACTTTGTGTATTTCTCTTGCTCAATTTTACTCTTCGGAGATCGGATCTTTTCTTGATTTTGTCACTTGTTTAGATCTCTCCGCACTGTGAATTTGGATTTTGGAGTTGATTGGCTATGGCAAGCATACCAAAGCAATAAGGCTATGTTTGGATTGGTGAATTTGAATTGAAAATTTTACATTTAAAATTCATATATTTTAAATTATTTGTTTGGATGATATAAAAAATTATAAATTTTAATATTAAAATCTTTTGTTTGGATCTTAAATAAAATTTTAAATTTTATATTTGAATTTAAAGACAACGCAGAAAACGTAGGAGGTCTAGTCTAGATCATGGGTAGTGGAACAATCTAGGTCGACTATGAATGTACGAATTTGAACGACATTAGTGGTGTAGTCTTGATCTGCAATAGCAATTTAGTCTTGATTAATGTTTGCGGTTTGATCCTGAACAACATTTATGAATTAGGATGGAACAATTACAACAGTCTGAGGTTTATGGATTGTACTTGGATGATGTCACCAGACCATTCACTGTTAATAATGGTGTTTGGCACCGAATGATAAACAGATCAAAGATAGTGATCATAAATCAGTGTTGGACAGTAACGGTGATGGCAAACTAACATCGATTGGATAAGATGGATCACCACGGGATAGTGGCAGCAGTCTGTAGGTCAAAGTTAGCTGTCAAATCCTAATCAAGGTTGGCAATCCAATCCTGATCGAAGTTAGTCATGCATGGCCTTCTAGTCTTGGTTGAAGATGGCCATTGGTCTTGGTTGGTATCTACAGTCTAATCCCAATCACTGCTAATGATCCAGTCTTGGTCGAAATCAATCTTGTAGTCGTTGTGGAAGGTCGTCTTTCGATCTTGGTTGGCACCTGCCATTTGGTCCCAGTTGAAATTGGCTGTTTGGTCTTGGTCAATGCCGACCAACTATTCCTGGTTAGCATCGGCGGTTCGATCTCGATCGGTGCTGACAATCCAATCTTGGTTGAAGTTGTCGTGTGGTTTCAAATATCTCCCTTGCCTAATTACATTTAGCAATTAAATTCAAGATAATCTTTGGATTGACCTAAATTAGATTATCAAGTTTTTAAATTATAGAAAAAAGATTATAAGTTTTCATAGTTTAAAAATAATTCAAAATTATTTATAAAACTTTCAATCAGAGTAAAATAATATTTTGAAAGTATGAGATATCTCGGAAGAGTGAAAAGACTCAAAACTAATTTGAAAATATCAAGAATTAAGAAGCATGATAGTGCGTTGTGAGCCCGTGACATGAGCATATGTGCTGCAACTGTCTTGCGTTATGCCACACGCCATGGCACAAGCTCCATGTGCCGTGGCATGTTGCACGCTTTTGACAACAACTTTGTTGTCATTTGATAGCAATTTCGAGCAACTTTTGACGTGTCTCAATTCTTCTTCTGACATTCAAATGAAATGATTTAGGTATTTACGAAAAGCTTTTTTCATGAACTAATAAATGGAATAGGCTTTCCTTCCAAATTATATCACAAAAAAAAAAGTTAGATATCCAAATACATTTTCAACTATTTTCACAATTTTCACAACTCAATAATGTTCAAAACCCCACACATGTGCCAAAAGCTATTCCTAACACCCAAACTATACTTAATGAATTTAAAACTACCTGTATAACACATCACATGCACATAATTTCAATCATTTTAAATTTTTACTCATAAATTCCTTTCATATCAAAAACAGAGGGGGAGATTTTTAGCATTGCATTTTCTAATTAACATCCACAATTAAAATCAAATCAACAACCTTATATTTATATTAGTATTTTGGCCTTAATGAACAATTAAACAACTTATAAACAATATCCCAGGGCCCAAAATACATTTTGAAAATCATAAATATCCATAAGTATAAGTGTATGCAAGATATAACCTAATTGGCAATATCTAATGCGTCACATGAAATAAATAAAATGGGGATGCTTTATAGTAGGAATTTTTTGAATTCCTAAGCCTTCAGAGTCTTTCCCTTTTCTACACTAGAGTTGGAGCCTGTAAAATATTGAAAAAGAGGGGTGAGTCAAGATACTCAGTAACTAAGGTACATCTACCCTATGTAGTTATATATCAATTGATATAAACACATAGGAGTGTGTTGATTACTTAAAGATATCAACTTACAAATGATACAAGTTAAAATTTCACAATTTAATTTATTTTCATATTTCTCACCTCAAATAACAGGGTGCATTGCCATAAGACACACATACATGTGATAATGACCCAGTTCATTAGTTTCCTGCTTATTGCCACAATTTAGTTAACCATGTGACAATGTCACATTCGCTATCATAACTTGCTACAAACTTAACAATCATGAAATACGCTAGATAAACACATATGTATGATCAATTCCACCTTATATTCTCCTTATATTTTCTAACTGAAATCGTAGGCTATAACATCTAACAAGGCTCTGTCTGTGTGATTGGACCACCCAAGCTCACATATGTATGATCAATTTCACCTTATATTCTCTTTATATTTTTCAATTGAAACCGTGGGCTATAACATCTAACAAGGCTCTGTCTGTGTGACTGGACCACCCAAGCTTACTAATTATGAGGTGTGAACTCACTGTTAGACCATGGCTTTCCCTATTCTCAAGTCTCTGGGGTGTTGTATATCCTAAACTAGCCTCCTTGATAAACAGGTAGAGATAGCTATATTTTAGTCTCTTAACAAAATATGGGACAGTCCTTCAACAAACTGTGGGACAAGGCTATGCCTTCGTGCATCGAAAGGTAGCCATAACCTATAAGTACCATATGAATTTTATCTACTTCTCTTTCTTAGGCGAACTCCCACGAAACGATCATGCACTATACAGTGCTTACTAATTTCATAATTTCATTTATTCAAAATTAACATATTAGGCTTAAGATAAGATGCTATCCAAGTAAGCATCAATGTCACATTTACAATTATTCTCCTTTTCAACTCTATATTCCACAACACATTCCAAATTCCCATTTAGCCTCACATATAATCCCCACATGTTAACACAAGCATATTACAATCATTTCACCCATAATAAACATCTCATTTCAATATGCATTCCTATTTTTGAAACTCATTTCACATTCATTTTCACATTTATGTAAGATGAAGATTATCATACTAACATATGATTCATAGTATGCTTTCACATTTACAATTTCAATCTCATATTGAAATAAATCATTTTTCACATTAGAAACTCGATTAACAAACAATTACCTAAAATAGAGTTCCATTAGTTACCTCAAACCTTTAAGAGGTCAAAAATTTACCTCTCAATATATGCTTCCAACCTTGCTTTTCAAGCCTAAAGTGGTGGTCGAATGATTAATCTATAATTAATTAAGTTCAAACTCAATTAACATTGCTACAAATACTTTCAACTCTTATTTTCCATTTTAAAATATCCAATGCCCTTATTTCTCACATTTAAGCTTACCTATTAGGTGCGTTAACTCTCTTTAGCATTATATAGTTTTATTAAATTCTCATATTGTCATTGATGACTTCCAACCATCTAAAAAACCCCACATTAATAGCTCATTTTGGGATATTAATGATGCTCACTAACCAAAAATGTCAAAGCCCACAATTTTTAGATTTAAATGCTCAAAACAACTCCTATTAACTTCATTTGAGTCAATGAGTTCAAACTTAAAACTTATAGGGACCGAAAATCACTACTATCACAAAGCCTTAACTCTCAAAACATGAGAAAAATTGGTTGGAAAGGGAGAAGAAGAGACGAGGGGACTTACTCATAAGGTTAGATGGCTCACCTCCAATCTTTTTGGAATTGAAGCCTTAGCAAATCCCTCTTCGTCCTCTTTGTGTCTCTCCTGATCCCTCTTTTCCTTTCTTTGTTTTTTGCTTCATATTCCCGTCTTATTTCCACAAAACGCATATCGTGCGTCGCGGTGTGTGATATAGAGATGACCACTCTACTTGTTCTGGCCTTTTGTGCCACAGTACACCATGCACGCGTTGCGACATGTGGCATGGAGATTTTTTTTCACTTTTAATGTCCAAGTGACCTAATCTCACCTTGGATCCATATTTATACCTAAAATTCTCACCAAAGACACTCATTAGTCCTTTTGACTGCACACAACTTTTACTTAATCATCATTAATTAAATTAATTGTCAGGAAATTAATTTTTAAGATGTTACATTGCCTCAATGGAAAGCCACTGCCCTGTCCTAGTCAAACTAGTAGTTCGATCTCAATCAAAGATGACCATTCAATCTTGATTGGCATTAGTCATCTAGTCCCAGTCGGCACTTGTGGTCCAATCCTGGTTAAAGTTGGCCATCAAATCTAGATTGGTGCTAGTGGTTTGATCCTAATCAATGCCAATTGTCCAGTCTCGATCGACAATGTTGAAATTGAGAAGGCAGAAAAGTCAATGAATAAACGTGAAATAAGAGAGAAGCTTTCATAAAAAATTGAAATAACATAGATTTATAAAAAATTTTAAATGATAAAGAGCCTGAGGTAGGAATCCATATATTTCTAATTATCTAAATAATAAATTTGATTTAAATTTAAATTTATATACATGTTGAATGCGATCTCTTAATTAGTAATATTCCTAAAAGTTTGATAAATGATAGAGCACAATGGCGTCTTGCAATCCATGTAGCCGACCCACCTAGTGGGATAAAGGCTTGTTGTTGTTGTTGTTGTTTTAAATTTATATACATCCAAACGTAACATAAGAAAAGTCTTAATATTGGTTTGTAAAGGAACCGGGCTGATATGAGATTTTAGTTGCATATGCTGTCATTGATATCACCATTAATTATTAAATTTTTTTTAATGAAACGTTCTTGAAGAAAAATTATCAGTTTGGTAATGTCCCAATTTCAATAAAAAAACTTTTAAAATGTTTTAAGGAATTATACAATTACATTGCTGTGCCTGTTATAGCGTTACCGTGTCAGCTGACGAAGTGACGATGGAGAAGTTGGAGGGCCGCCCGAACTTTTGATTCATTGA